GAGCCACTCTATGAAACTAAAACTCGAAGCAAACTTGATACCTACATGAGGAGAAATGGCAAGTCAAGGAACAGTTTGCCAAAATATAGCAATGGCTAGGTATCTACTCAACTGAACAGATGAGGTTCCACCCTTCCACAACCCGTCCTTATCGTTAGGAGGATGACGAACACCCAGATATAAACTAAATTTGAGTAACATAAACACTGCGGCTAGAGCATGTAGACCATGTAATACATGTACACCAACTCCAACCATACGTCAAGCAACTGGAATTACTAAGAGGAAGTTAGTATTCTGCCCAAAGCATACAACTCCCAAAACCACTCTAAAAGCAAGAAGTACAACAAACCAAACCCAGCATTACGGGGTTGTATTGTTGCCTCAACTCAACCATAAGAACAGTGCAATACCTGTAACTGGTATTAACCCTATTGCCCCGGGTACCCTTTACTGCGCATGACACAAGGTTTTAGTGTCTTACATTCACAATTTTATCAAACTACTTTTTGTTTATGTTTTACCAATTAGAGTAGCATAAAATCTTAGCTAATAATCCATATTTTAATAGTATACAAGTTTTAAGTTTTTAATTCTACAAGGAAATATATAAAAAAATCCTAAATTTCCACTAGTGTGACCGATGTGACACATTTTGTCTAAGTATGTCATCATCCCTCTTTTATCCATCACCCCTCGAAAATGTATGAGATGAAACAAAATACTCTTTATAAAATCGTTATTGCTCAAACAAACCATAATTTTTATAGCCTTCAATTTTGTTTGGTTACAGAGCTATTGAGTAGAGAATCAGACCCCTCCTGCCACACTCACCTGTCTCATCTTCTCTTTCACAATTAGTTAATAGTTCTCTCTTACGTTTCATTACATATTACCTATAACCAATAGAAAGTCAAGGCCTTCATCTATCAAATGATGTATTGTATAACGTTGTATTCTGAACAGTTAGATGTCAATTTCATTCAGAGTTCCAACATCATTACCATTGGAAAGTTAATAACTAGCTTGATGAATTTGTAACGGCTCTTGTCGGATGGTTAGAAAGCCAGGAAAATTTTGAGAGGTAAGTGAATTTGTCTACTTTTTGCACGTTATTAGTCTATAATCTTTGGTGCATTATTTAATTAAATAAAAATTATTAAGTCATTCCTATCTATAGTATTAGGGTTAACTCTCTTCGAAACCCGACAGCAAGAAGATTGGGTAAGTACTATATTCCTTGTTTATTTATTATTATAAAAGTAACTAAAACCTAAAAATATGAATGTTTTTAAGTTATTTAAGACTAAATCAGGTAAAATAAATAATAATATAATTAAAATGGTTCACAAAGCACCTCCGCAAGCAGCTTGTGGGTAATGTAATTCGATAGCATAATGCGAGATGCACGTTTCCTAAGTGATTTACAACTTATAATGGCACGGATAGTAGTTAGACATGGTTCAAAAGGCAATAAAACAATAAAATTTAATTATAAATGGATATATATTGTTAAAAACTTAGAGCTACTTAGGATAAACGAATGTAGTTTCATGTTACAATCTGAAGTTATTCTAGAAAGAAAAAAAGTTAATTTAGGTTTATTTCAATTATTAATTTTTTTTGGGGATGATTACGAGGTTGGTCAATTTGACTGATCCTGTTTTGAGATAGGGTAGAGAAAACAACAGATAAACTATGAAGTTTTACTTAAAAAAAAAACGTTTGAAAAGCATTTAGTAGGTTTTAGGGATTACACAAAGAAATTTGAGATTTTTGAGATGAGGGTCAAATATTTTTAATTTTAACATGAAATTACTTTGCACAGGACTATTCAAAACAAATACTCAATATATTCATGGCCAAATCTTTACTTTATTTTATTAAAAATACTTCACCAAGAAATATGAGTTTTTGTATGTGAAAGATTTGTAATATGAACTGAAAGACTGCCAAATTTCGTGAAGATATACCCAATACATTGAAATGTTGTGAAAAGACATACCCACGTCAAAGGCAAACAGATATGTGTTTAATTATCATGGGAGGGAGATGATATCCTCCCAAAATAGATACAGCCAGATAATGAGCAACGAAGGAATAGGAAGCAATCCACATTCTGGCCTGAATAATTTCTTCCTATGAACAGTGAAGATGAGCAGCCAAAGACATGGTGATATGACAAATTTGATCAGAAGAAACATTGAGGAGACAGCAACCTTCCACGGATAAGTCTGAATATGCCAGCCTAAGGAGTTGAGAAACCCAACCAGTTACTGTAACAGGATAGATCATGGGAAACAGTAGGGTTCTAGTGAATAAAAGTTTGGGAATGTGAATGCCAAAAGGAGGCAGTACATACCACATAACACCTTAGAGAGCAAACCTGAGAAAGAAGCTTTTTGGGATTGGAAAGGAAGTATAGCTAGGAAAAGAAGTTAAAAATATAGGTGTGAAAGCCAAATGGCCTTCACATACAACAGAGGTTTTAGGGAGGAAGGATCAGACTGGCTATAGGATGACATAAGAGGAATAGTAGACGATTCTGGGAACATTAATAGCATAAATGTGATCAACGACATCTATGTGCTAGAAAAAAAAGGAAACATAATATACCCCATACCTGAGTAACCAGCTGTAAAAAAGGTGTGGAAGGTGAGATATCCTGTAGAGGTGTAGACTGTGACAGAACAAAAAAAGAAGGTGCCTGAAAAAGTGAATCCAATTTTTTTCTCCTAGAATGTATTCATCCTCAAAAACATTGTCAGATTGAAATTAAAAAGAAATCACTGGCCAATCATAGGAATCTAGCTCTCTGTGAATTAAGGCCTGTGCCTCCTCAGCAGATAAAGTTTAACCTGATGCCATTGTAGTCATATCAGAAGTGTTGTCTGCCATAACAAGAACTTCCATTGTCGATACATTAAATCACGAAATCATTCTAAGTTACTGTATAAATTGGTAACAACACACAAATACAAAAGAAAAAATTAAACAATTGAATGCAAACATAGAAAAAGAAAAACTGTTTAAAAAAGTACTGAAATGTCAATAAAGTACAACTGTAATCAGTAGTCACATGCAATAAAAAACATACATGATGCTATGCCAATCAAGAAAGTCCTAGTCAAAACTAAACAGAAACTCATTAATCAGAAACACAAAAATGTAATCTATGATATTTCGTGTTCCTGTAACGAAACACATATTGAATAAATGTGAAGACAACTAAAGAAAAGAATAACAGAACACACAGACAGCACAAGACTAATGAAAACACAAAATTAAGCCACTGCAGAACATACTATGTCAACTGGACACAACATAGACCTTGACAAAGCTGGAATAATTGACTCAAAACATATTTTGGAAAACAGGGTAAATAAAGAAATCTTTGTACATCAACACAATAAAACCTTCATTAAACAGAGATTAGGGACAAGAAATCAGCAACTTATGCCTATCATTTGTTGAATCCACACTCAGTCACTCCACCAATAAGAGCTAAGAATAAACAATTACTCAAAGCATGTCTACCTCAATCCATCTGGATACTATATAAAGGCTGCAGTAGTTTGCACAAACTGAGCTGAAGACAAAAAGCAGAAGATTTCTGAAATGTCATCCTCTGCACTTGAGCGCATAAGTAGATTGTATAGCCACCAATATAGTTCTACAACAGTTGCCACCCATTCACAGTCAACTCAACAAGACAAGATACTGTATTAACAGAAGCTAAAGTGTATCAATTAGATTTAAAATTAAAAAAGAACACTCACAGTGTACTGTAAGACAGGTTGGATTCATATAGTTGATTAAATAGTTAAAATTTAAGAATAAATAACAAGGTGAAACTAAGAAATACACTTAATAACTTAATTAAGAAAAAAAGAGGAAATTTTAAAATTTAAATCTGATAATGAGGTTCCAGTCTTGAAGGATATTTATAGTAAACTTCTGTCAAATCTTAAAGTTGTTAACTTATCAAATAAGAATGCATCACTTAAGCATATGGAAATTTTAAGTATAGGCTTAAATTTTTCACTTAATCACAACAGTTCATGGAAAGAAGATTATATTGTGTCAATGGAAGTATGTTTGAAAAGATTAGAAGTTAATAATAGGATAAAACATATGGTTAGAACAGAAGTAGCAAATGAATTATTGAACCAGACAGGTAAACCTAGGTTAATTTAAGTAATGTTGAATTAGAACAGTTACATTCAGTAAAGAGCAATGGTATTATTGTAATTACCAAGGCAGACAAAGGAGGTAACATTTTAATTTTGGATAAAAGGGTTTATGAGAATGAAATTAATTAATTGCTCGAGGATGGTTCTTACGAACAAGTAAAAAGTTGTTACTTGGACACCAAAAGAAGCCAAAGACTTTATTCCCTCAAGATATGATTTACTCAGGTCCTTTACGCTACCTAAAATTCATAAAACTGGCACCCTGTTTCATCCAATTATGGATAGCAGAGGCTGATCATTCCATATTTGGCAAAATTTATGCCAGAAATGTTAATTTTTAAGTGACTCTCATAACTACACTGTAAATAATTTATCTGATTTTGTTAACAGGGATAATTTATAATCAACTGATAAACTAGCTTGATTTTGTTCACCAGTTATTTTTATCCAAATTAACTCTTCAACCTTTCACTTTTAAAAATGTTGCATTTTTTGTTAAAGGACAAGTAGTAGTAACTGTGAGACAACATATCATAATACATTTATAAAACTTTTTGTTCTTTTTTCTCTCTCATTTAACACAGATTTCAAAAGTATTAAAACAAATAAACATAAAGTTCAACTTCTATTTTTCACTTTATTTCTATAATTTAAAGCTGGTAATTCCCACTTAAATCACTCTTTTGACTGAATAATATTAGTTCAAAATTTAAACTATAAGCAACTTTTCTCAGTGATTACGCCAGTTTTTTATTTTAATGGTTTGGTTTCACAGCTTCATTATATTAGTTTGAAAATGCTTCTTACCTCATCATATTGTACATTCAGAACACAGTACAAAAATGGCTGACCAGAGTCACTGGAAGCACTGTGAAACTCTTTACTGTCCACTATAGAACTGTAGAGAAATAGGTTTCATCTTCAGCAAACTTACATATGTACCAAAATAATAACTTTCAGATATTCCTTCTATTAGTTTCGTTTAGTTTTTGATTTTAATTTAAATTTTATTATAAGCATAAATAGAGAAGCTAGTACAAACAGGTCAGAAATCTGAAAATATCTTATTAGACAAATTTAAGTTATATAATGCAATAATTTTAATGATAAGAAAAAATGGATAGTAAATCAGATAGAAACATACTGTCGAATGGTGTTAATTATTTCATTCCACATAAATTATTTCATACAAACCTAAGCAACTGTAGTCATTAAAGACTTACAAGAAATTTTAACACTGAATTCTTTTTCAAGGTTTTCTCCTGAAGGTTATATATATATATAGCAATTAATCAGATAGTTGGCAATCAAACATTAAAATTAACATTAATAATGATAAGTGACTTTTTATTATGGAATTTCAAAATGAGACCCAAAACTCAAGCTCTTTCGAATAGTTGACTATTCTTCTTTAGAAGAATAAAGGGTGATATTGTATATTCTTTTGTTTTCAAATTGCAGTAAGGCTCAGCCATCATGGGTACCAAAACTGAAATGTGATAAAAATAAACTGCATATGTTAACGGTGAAATATCCAACCTTGAATATAGAGATACTTAATATACACACACAAACATATTTTGTGTAACGATCCTGAGTTTTAAAACCATAATAATAATGGGAACTTAATATCTGGGTAGAACTAACAAAGAGCATCTAAATGATGTGAACATTAATCAGCTTTTCATGGTGCAATGTAAAATTTTAAAAAGCTTTACAATGATTTATTACAAAACTAGCATAACATACAACAAGTATAACATTAAATATATTAATCATAATATACAAACAATTTCAGAGAAACAACTAGAGTGGAAATGAATATCAAATAAAAATGCTTTTAATTAATATTCAGTTTTTATACGTTATATTTCTAAAGACTTTTCTTATGTTGTAAATGACCTAAACATCACTTTGATTTGTAAATAAAAAGCACAAGCAAATTTCACCAATTACTTATTTGTTATTAAGCACAAAAGTACACAAAGGGCTATCTGTGCTCTGCCCACCACAGGTATCGAAACCCGGGTTCTAGCAGTATAAGTCTGCAGATATACCTCTGTCCACTGGGGGGTTCACCAATTACAAACTATGACTATATATATTTCCATGTCTATTTATTCATCATCATAACATTATATATCATCTTGATCTACAAAGCCAACTCAACTACAATACACAGTTTATAGCTTGGAAGGTTCCATGCACTATAGATTATGGAAGTCTTTGTTTCAAATGATTTTACCTTCAACATAAAATGTACCTTTAAGCGTCCAAATGAATGGCATGAATCTTTACTATTAATGCTTCTGATAGTACTAAAAATGAAATGAAATGCCAATTTAATAACAAATAATTATTTAGAGCCAAGTGTGACATAGCCAAATCGACTTTAGTATGATCTGATCTACATTGTGCCAGGTGTGTAGTGGCTGAATCATTTTTGATATCTGTATAATCCTGAATGCAAGTAAATTTAAAGATCATGTCAATCCTAAATATTATTTTGGTATCTTTAAACACTTTTGCATGCAGCCTGTATATTTCATTACATATATGGTAAGTAATTGCTTTCAATTTATGGTAAACAAGGTACAACAAACATACAAAAATACATGACATTTTTATTGTCTTTACTGTCCAATAATTGAAAGCAATTCAAATACATGTAATGAATATTCGAAAATCAAAATCCACTATGTGCTACACCTTCATGCAAATAGTGATCAATATTATGTATCTATTATTTCACTTTTAACATACATATTTGTCTGTGAATAAAAATTATTACTGCATGCAGACAATAAGGTGAATTTAGAACTAGTCTTTCACTATACCTATAACTACAGTAGTATACTTATATGTAAAAACATGTTCTTCCAGTTACTTTTGTTACAAAATCTGTTTTTTCCATAACTTTAAGTTTGCCTGTAATCATATATGATATGATCTTATAATTTCTATAAAAAAAAAGCATGGGAGCAAAAAATAATAATTTTATTGAAGTATTTCACAATAATCAAAAAGAAAATTAATTTAATTAAACTGAAGAAACAATTTCATAAACTTAATAAGCTATGTTCAACTGCAGAAATTTAACTGTAATATACACAAGACACTCAGTGCTATATTTCTCTCTCTCTCTCTCTCTCTCTCTCTATATATATATATATATATATATATATATTGACTATGTAAGCTTATTAATTAAATGAGTATCTTATTTTTCTTGTATTTGTAATTCCAATAATTTTTAATATTGTTTTAATAATTACATGATAAATACTACACTTCACACACATTTTTTCCCCATAAATCACAGTTAATTACTGGATTAATATTTCAGCACTTAATTAATTTTGAGTTGATTTATATTTCTGTTCTGGCTTTTGAATAATGGTCAAACAATATTTTATATGCACTGAAAATATTCTAATCAACAAACAGTTTTATTTTTATGAAAAACAAAACCAATCTGAACTAGTTGTAATATTAAAAGTGAAAAAAAATATTTGTTTTTGTCTCAGATTTTCACATAAAGCTACACAAAGGCTGTCCCTGTTAGCCATCCCTAATCTTGAACTGATAATTTATATACAGAAGGCAGCTAGTCAACACCACCCTCTGCCAACTACTTGGCTACTTTAATCAAATAGTGGGATTTGACAATCACTCTTATAACACATCCACAGCTTCAGATGCAAAGTGCAATTATTTATGAGTTTTCATTTTCTTGCATATTTGTACAATAATTTGTAATCAAGAAACAAATTTCCTTATATATATATATATATATATAATTGGGCTTTCATACTCGAAAAGGTCGTTCTTGGATGCCTTTAACACAGGGATCAGCAACATTCATAGGAATTGGCCAAAAAATACTTTAATCATATTTCTGATGCAAAACTCTTTTCGCAATGAAACAAGAAAAAAAATAAAAATTTATTTTCATTACAAATGCAGTATGGACTTGAATACTGAATTTGTACCAGAAGGTAATATTTCAATTACACTACAATATCTTGTATTAGTAGAATGACTTTCCATGGCTTTTAAAAATATATATGAATCATTCAAATACTTTCCATGGATTTTAAGAAATATATAAAATATTCCTCCACTTTTCATTCTGACAGAAGCAGTAAGGAGGCTCAGAAAGTTACAGTATAGTTGCAGAGCTTGCTTCACATAAATAAAAAAACCTATTATTTATTTAAAAGAAATAACATTTAGTGGACATAAGACATAGTTATTTGATTAGTCGAATTTTCCACTCAATTGATCATTAACTTCATTAATTACATTCAATTAATCAATTATTCTCACATTAGATTTATCTTCTTATTTTCAGCTTTTGGGTTTTTAAAAGACAATTTTGAACTATTTTTCATTTAATGCAATAGACATCTTTATGATTATGGAATGAATTTGCACAGTGTCAGTCTATTTGACCAACCCAGTAATGGAGAAGTAATGTTGACTATAATTCCAACTTCACAAAATTTGGCTTGCTTAAAATAAACGAAAGGCGGAAGATTTTAGAAACATTGTCCTCTACATTTGTAGGTTTCTACAACAGGCAGTTGCTGTCCATATGAAACTTTGATTCATTATGAATATTCTGCCTAAACAACCTATCAAAAATAGACAATTCTCTGTACAGAAAACAATGTAATGTAATATATAATTTGATAGATTAAAACTTTGGATTTCTATTGGTTATAAGTAATATTGTATTAAACATCAGAGAAAACCATTGTCAATTTGTGAAAAAGAGGATGTGACAGGAAGGCGTGACAAGTGGGGTTGATTTTCAAGTTTATGGCATTATAAACACATAAGATTGAAGACTATAAAAATTATGCTTTGCCTAAGTAATAACTGTAATATAATGGGTAATCTACGTTAAGTTTCGTACTTCTGAGAGGGGATGTAAATAAATTAGAGAAGAGGGAAGACCTAGAAAGCAAATGTCATACCAGGAAAGATTGAAGATTGTTTTAAACATTTCCTTATAAAATTAAAAACTTAAAACTTATATCATATTAAAGGACTCAGACAAATCAACCAAATTCGTTACCCTAAATTGACTTTTATAGTTCCATACTATAATGTATAATATGTTTCGTGTATCTTCATGGAATTAAAAAGCATGTAGACAAAACATCAGAATTTTTTAAGAAGCATTTTCACTAAATATTTCTCCGTGAATATGTGGAATCACAGCATTGACTACTACGAGTACAAACTGATTTTCATGTTAAGATTACAAGTACTTTTCTTTATCTCAAAATTGTCAAATGTCATTTGCATAATCTCTATAACCTCCTAAATAAATTTAATTTTTTTTTTCAGTAGGACTTTATATTTTATGTTATTTTCTCTTCCTTATCTCTATGTTGGGTTGGTCTATTTGACCAGCCTTGTAACCAACAATAAAAAAAAATATGAAATGAATCTAAATTGCCCTTTTTTTTCTTCCTAGAATGACTTCAAAATGTAACATGAAATTACATTTGTTTATCCTAAATAGCTTAAAACTCACAACAGTATACATTTATTTCTATTTAAATTTTATTGCATCATTGCCCTTTGAACCATGTCTAACTAGTAATCTTGCCACAAAAGCTGTAAATCACATGGTAAACTTGTAGCTCACATTACCTATCAAATTATGTACCACACAGGCTGCTCAAGAACGTACTTTGTGAAAAACAATTTTTTTCCCTAATCTAACCTAAAAAGTTTCGAGTTTTTACATTGTAGTTACTTTTATAATAATAAATAAAGAATGCACATGAAACCCAAGAAATATATTACTTACCTGGATCTTTTTTAATGCTGTTGATGAAACTTAAATCCTACTTTTTTATACTAATGGTACTACTACACTAC